CATGTCATATAATATAGAATCATAATTAAAGAATATTAATTAAAAAAGAATGTAATTAAATAACCGTGAAGTTCTTGAGTCTCATGTATTATCATCATATAGGGAGAAGTGCAATAAATCTGACCATGCTTGTTTGGACGTACTTTTATTAATTTTTGATCTCGCTGAATACAACTGTCTTTAAAGAGGAGACATCGTCTGTTTCAAGCTGGCAAGATTTAATTAATTGGAGGCACATACTAGTTTCAAGAAAAGCCCACGTCACCTAAGATAAAAAAATATTTCATATTTTATATATTATGTAAATATTTCATATTCTCTATATATTCATAGAAAAATTTAAATGTCTATACAATACCCTGTATTTCTCTATTATTTTACACGCTGTTTCTGCATCAAACCGCGATTCAATTCTGATTACTTTTACGTGCAAAAGAATAGCCTGAATAGTTATGAATATGCCATTGATAAAGCATAAGGATTCAAACAACAGAGCGGTATCATTTTTAAGCATATTGGGTGCGTGCTGATCTGGTGGAGCCATGAAAGCTACATGAGGAATTTTTATATGTACGGGAGAAGCAGTTGTGCCTGAAGTAAACAATATCATTGCAGTTGACTTTATATTTGTCATTTTTACACATGAAAAAAGTTCAACCCTGACCAGATCGCTGTAGTTCATGACAACTTCCAGAGTTGGTAAATTTTTATTTTTAGTTGATGGATTTTTATCCTTATCAGAAAAAACTATGATTTTTGTTTTGGGCATGCCTTTGGGAATTTTTAATTCATTCATAGAGCGAAGAGCTATCATATAAAACTTTTCGTCAATAAAGAGCATAGACGGCTTAACTTGCTCCAAAACGGAACTTATATTGTCTATGAATGATAAATTAAATTAAATTATTAGTAAAAAATTGGCTATGAATATAAATAGTGTAAAAATTAAGTGAAGAAGAATAATATACCTTCGATAAAATACGGATCCAACGGACTAACAACAGCGCCAATGTATAAAGCCGCCAGAAACGGTACATAAGCATCTAATTGATTGTTTGTGCATATCATTATTACATCATTGGGTTGAATACCCTGGTCTTGCATCCATAATGCACATTTCACGCTCCGCTTTCTCATGTAATAGAATGTATTTTCTTCTCCCGTTTTCGCATCCACCTGCAAGACATTATATTGCCTTATTACTTAATAATATTACATTTTTCATCTAATAAGTTTATATAATTTTACATTGTTAATTAATAGATATCTGTATTGTGTATACATATCTGTAAGAAGCAAACAAGTTTTGTTACTAAAACGCGTTACCTGACCAATGAAATTCGGGTTAGACATAAAGGATGTCAAAATTAGATATCCAATATTTAAACAATTTTGTGTATCATCTAGATTCAAAGTTTGTGATCCTATTAAAATATTGTCTCTTATATAAAATGTATCATTTGTGTTCGAAGTACCCTAAAATTATACACGATAGATGATTAGTAATGCCTTCTTTTTTCGTAAATTTTGTAGAGTAATTTTTATTATATCGTTTATGATTTATTATCGTTTATTATGTATATAACATACGCGCACAAATACGCACCATATTGCCAATAATATTAAATCTTTCTTCAGCTTTCTGTAGTATTTTATTGGATTAAAAATGTTAAAAGTTGAGACTTTTATTCTCACTTTACCTCTATCCAAGATAATAGCACTATTTGTGTTACAACGAATACTGCGTGACTAACAATAAGCTTTAATGTGATATAATATTTATTTATTTTTACGAAATAACCTCAATGTTATAGAAGAAAAACAATCAATATCTTATCCGAAGACACAAGTCAGACTTACGACAAAATATTGAGAATCTATGAGCTATTATATTATATACATAATATATGTGTGTATAATAATTATAGATATAAAGTGGTCAGTGTTGGGAATTAATCGATTAAAATTTTAGTTGACTAAAGTAATGCATTAATCAATCATCATACATGTAATTGCGACTAATTGAATCGAATAATGATATTAATCTTTAATTGGTATGCAATTAATCGATTAAGTTATTTGATTAACACTTGATCCTTGTATAAAATCACGATTTTTCAAATCGAGATTAATAAAATAGATTAAGTATTAATTTCATAATTTAATCGATTTTTGAAGTTAGTCATCTAATGAGTAAATTCATTATAATGTAGGCATATCATTTATAGATTTTCTTTATATTTTACAGAAACTTCTGTTTATTACTTTACTTATAGATATAAAACTAACTCTTGCAACTAATTGCGAAGCTGAAAGCTTCAAAAAGTGAGTTTTTATATAAAATGTATCTTATGATCTTATCATGCAAAATGTTTTATTATATGATAAATATATTTGCATTACACATTTCTTATATTAATAGTATATATATATATATATATATATATATACTATTAATATAAGAAATGTGTAATGCAAATATATATATTACTTATATATATATATATAAGTATCCATGTAGTAAAATTATACATATATATAAACAAAAACATGTCATATCACAAGAAGATTCAATTACATGTTACAATTACACGCATACATGTAAGTATATCATTGTGATATTAGAACGTAAAAAAATTTAGTATTTAATGTTTTATGTTACATCTTTCTCTTTAATTCATTCAGAATCTACAGCTCTCGTAATAAATTGCACGAAATTTACATATATAAAAAAATTATTTTATGCTAATTGCACTTCTTTTTTCGTAAATTTTGTAGAGTAATTTTTATTATATCGTTTATGATTTATTATCGTTTATTATGTATATAACATACGCGCACAAATACGCACCATATTGCCAATAATATTAAATCTTTCTTCAGCTTTCTGTAGTATTTTATTGGATTAAAAATGTTAAAAGTTGAGACTTTTATTCTCACTTTACCTCTCTCCAAGATAATAGCACTATTTGTGTTACAACGAATACTGCGTGACTAACAATAAGCTTTAACGTTGAAATAATATTTATTTATTTTTACGAAATAACCTCAATGTTATAGAAGAAAAACAATCAATATCTTATCCGAAGACACAAGTCAGACTTACGACAAAATATTGAGAATCTATGAGCTATTATATTATATACATAATATATGTGTGTATAATAATTATAGATATAAAGTGGTCAGTGTTGGGAATTAATCGATTAAAATTTTAGTTGACTAAAGTAATGCATTAATCAATCATCATACATGTAATTGCGACTAATTGAATCGAATAATGATATTAATCTTTAATTGGTATGCAATTAATCGATTAAGTTATTTGATTAACACTTGATCCTTGTATAAAATCACGATTTTTCAAATCGAGATTAATAAAATAGATTAAGTATTAATTTCATAATTTAATCGATTTTTGAAGTTAGTCATCTAATGAGTAAATTCATTATAATGTAGGCATATCATTTATAGATTTTCTTTATATTTTACAGAAACTTCTGTTTATTACTTTACTTATAGATATAAAACTAACTCTTGCAACTAATTGCGAAGCTGAAAGCTTCAAAAAGTGAGTTTTTATATAAAATGTATCTTATGATCTTATCATGCAAAATGTTTTATTATATGATAAATATATTTGCATTACACATTTCTTATATTAATAGTATATATATATATATATATATATATA